ATTATTATTTGCTCCGCTCCATCTAAGGAGAGTAGGACATTGTTCACCCACTAGTCAGCCACACCTACCGCTGAGTGCCACCATTTGCTCCCGCAACCCCAGCCCAGCGACAGAGGTGGGCAATACACTCACCTGGGCTGCAAGTGCTCTTCCCAACAGGCAAGCAGAGATCTGTGCCCACACTCCCTCCAGTCACACCACTCAACAGAAACAGGAAAGGGAGTGGCTACAAAAGTGTCCACTCCTCCCCACCCACCCATATGTATCCACAAAGCAAACTTAAAACGATTATGAAATGAAATGGATAATGTCACAACCCAACCAACTGAAAGAAGAATAAGAGGAGATTCTGACAAATTTGAAAATCTAAAAGAAATGGGCAAATTTCTAGAAACACGTGCCTTACCTAAACCAATATGAATGGAGGTAGAAAATCTGACCAGGCTGACAGCAAATAATAAAATGAACAAGTAATTAAAAGACTCTCCCCAGTCCCCACAAAAGGCCCTGGGCTTGTTGACTTCACTGGAGAATTCTACTAACTATTCAAAGAAGAGTGATACCAATCGTACTCAAACGATACCACAATAAAGGATGGAATACGTCTAAACTGATTTTATGACGTGAACACAACCCTGACAGTGAAACATTACAGACCAATCTCCCTCATGAAAATCCTCAACAAAACCCTGCCCAATAGAATCCAACACTGAACCAAGAGTCAAACATCACAAATTCTTATCTGGTACACAAGGATGGTTCAACATTAGAAAAACAACCATTATCCACTACATACATTAAAACCACATGATCCTATCTATTGTTGCAAAAAGGTCATCTGATAAAATCAAATACCCATTCCGAAGACAACCTTTCAGCAAAATAGAAGGGAAGTTCCTGACATAATCAAGGCACGTATATAAAACCAACAGCCAGCATTCTCCTGAAAGCCTCCTCTAGAGAAGGGGGACCGTCCGGACAACGATGTCCTTCTTCATTCTTCCCACTCATCAAAGTCTTGTGTGTCCTAGCCAGGGTCTAAGGAAGGGAAATCAAAGGCAGTCAACTTGATCAAGTAGACCAAAATTATTCCAGGTGATATAAGATCTATAGAAGATGCCTGAGACTTGGCAAGGAACTACTAGAAAGATTAACAATGTAGCAGAGTACAAAATCAGAACTCTGAAAAGCACTATCATTTGCAATAGCCACCCAAAGATGACGACCTGAAGAATAACCCTTACCTACACCAGGGTAGAAAGGGGGAATGGATTCCAAGGACCCAACCTATACAAAGAAAACTGCACTCGCCACCACAAGAAGCCACAGGGACTCACCTAACCAGAAGACTGGCCTGTGCTCCCCATGCTGCGGCCTTGCAGGCAGGCTGGAACTGTCCCTGTGAGGTTCTGCGTCTGCAACTCTTTACAAGCGGAAAGCCACCTCTTTCTGCGGAGAAGCAGCTGGTGGTTTCTTAGTGCTGGACCTGCAGTGCGCAGCCCTATGTGTAAGCACCGTGCCACCGGGGTCCCACAGGGATCCATTAGTAGAATGCACCTTCCACCCACGTCTACCAACACTCTCTAAAAAGACGAAGGAAACCCAGCACTAACTTTACGAAGCACATAGGCGGTCTCACGCTCCCCCAATGGCCGTAGGCGCTACAGTAGACAATCCACCCTTGCACTGGACACAATGAGACACAGACGATGGAGCAGAAATGAGAAGAATTCATTTATCCACTCATGGACAGCTGATTTTAACAAAGGGCTCAAATCCATTTAATGGGGAGAGGAGGTTCTTTAACGAATGTGCTCACAAAACTGAGTATTCATTTACAGAAAAAAAAAGCCAAAAACGATCCATACCTCATACCATACATAGAAACTAACTCAATATGGATCAAAGACCTAAATATAAACCTAAAACTATAGAGATCACACCCCCCCCCCCAAAAAAAGGAAGCAAATTTATATGTCCTAATTTATGGCATAGAATCCCTATTAAACATAACCAAAAATGCATAAACAGCAAAAGATAAACTGGACAACTGGGACCCTTTTAAAAATTAAAGTTCTAGGCGCATCAGAAGACTTCTCTAAGAGAGTGAAAAAGAGAACCCATAGACTGGGGAAAAATATTTGGCAACGCCATTTCAAAAATTTAGAAAATGCCACACTTTAAACAGTAAGGTAACAGAAAGGTGAACAGTCCTGGAAATACTAAATACTGTATGAGTTTACTATTGTAAAAAGTCAAGGAAGACTTCTACAGAGAAAAAACAAAACCACGTTCTTTGATGTTACCAACCTCAATGCTATCGAGTCAATGCCAACTCAGGGTGATCCTAAAGGACACGGCAGGAATGCCCCTGCGGGTTTCTTAGACTCTAGCTCTAGGGAAGTGGAAAGCCTCATCTTTCTACCAGAGAGAGGCTTCTGGATTAAAAGTGCTGACCTTGTGATTAGCAGCCCAGCCCGTAACTCACGAGGCCACCAATGTGAAGGGAATAGGCATCTATTATGTATTTGTTTCTAGCCTAAAGAGCACCTAAGAGTGCTCTTTATACAGTGAAGACTCAATAAATAACTTCAATGTGAATAAAGCATTCTGAATACATTGCTTCTCTTTCCATCGCCAAATTAGTACATTTTCTTCCTTACCAAAAAAATGAAATAAAATAAAATTACGAACACATGAAAGAAAGTAACAGCAATCAAACTTACATTGTTTTGTGATAATTTTTTTTTTTTAGTCATTTTATTGGGGCTCATACAACTCTTATCACAATCCACACATATTCAACTGTGTGAAGCACACTTAAACATTCGTTGCCCTCATCATTCTCAAAATTCTCTTTCCGCTCAGGCTCCTAGAATCAGCTCCTCATTTTTCTTTACCCCCCCCTTCCCCACTCCTCCCTCTCTCATGAACCCTTGACAATTTATAAATTATTATTTTATCATATCTCACATTCCCCGTAGTCTCCCTTCACCCACTTTTCTGTTGCCCATCCCCCAGAGAGGAGGTTATATGTAGGTCCTTGTAATCCATTCCCCCTTTCTACCCGCCCTTCCCTCCCGGTATGGCCACTCTCACCGCTGGTCCTGAGGGGTTCATCTGTCCTGGATTCCCTGTGTTTCCAGTTCCCATCTGAACCGCTGGGCATCCTCTGGTCTAACCAGGTTTGCAACGTAGAATTGGGATCATGATAGTGGGGGTAAGGAAGCGTTTAAGAACTGGAGGAAGGTAGTGAGTTTCATTAATGCTACACTGTACCCAGAGTGACTCATCTCCTCCCCATTACCCCTCTGTGGGATGTCCAGTTGTCTACAGATGGGCATTGGGTCCCCATGATGTGCTCCCCTCATTCATGATATGATTCCCCCGCCCCCTCCCCCCTTTAGTGCTTGATACCCGGTCCCCTCGACCCTCCATGATCACACAGGCTGGTGTGCTTCTTCCATGTGGGCTTTATTGCTTCTGGGCTAGATGGCCGCTTGTTTACTTTCAAGCCTTTTTATATGTATGAGGACTTCAAAAAATTCGTGAAAAAAGCACTTGGAAATTGCGTAATTAACAAAGATATTTCCAAATCCAGTATTCTTCCTTTATTCTATATTGGATAGAGTTCTCTGACCATTTTCCTCAATAATCATTTCTACAAAATTTGAGCTGGCTAACCATAAAATTAAAAGACGAAATAAACCATATTAAAACCATGGTATTAACATAAACATTAAATAGTTTTCCAGTTGTGTATACATATGGAATTAAGCATATGTAACAAAGGCTTATTATCCCACACTAGCAGAAGGGGCTAAAGTTAACCTAAATACAAGTAAACAACATTTAACATCACAAATACACTAAATCTATGCAATGTTTAAGTTAACAGAACATTACTTAATGTTAAGTATTTGAATTTTTAAGTGTACTGAATTAAAAAAACTACCCAGGGGCTTGTTTTTTTTAAATCAGTTTTAAAGCTGTTGCTGTAGCTAAAACAATTTGCAAACTCAACTTTAGAAAAAAGCAAAGTTTCTGCACAACAATCAAGCTTCAGCTGCTTTGTTACAATTGTTCTATGTAAGACAGGGTCTTCAAAGGGTTTATGGAAAAATTCTATGACTTTTCAATTCCATTTGTCCACACACTCGGCGATGCCCTCCTATTACATCTTTAAACTTTGTTAACCATAGGAATACAAAGAAAAATGGAAGGTTGTGATTGCTCAGTTTCATTTATCACAGCCTTCTGGAGTAGTGGTTACTTGTTGGACTGCTAACCACAAGGTCAGCAGTTTGAAACTACCAGCCTCTCTGAGGCTGGCACTTTCTACTCCTATAAACAAGTACCGTCTCAGAAACCCACAGGGGCAGCTCTTTCCCTGCCCGACAAGGTCGCTATGGGTCAGAACCGACTAGATGGTGCTGAGTCTGGGTTGAGTTTTCTTAAAGGCAAAATGGAAAATTTTCCACATAAAAATACACATTTCATTTATAATTACCCAAAAGATAACGTATTTAACAAATAGAATTCAACTATAGAGTTTGCATTAGATCTTCTGTCATTAAGATCTGAATTCAGAATATCTTAGAAAGCTAAAATTATACCCATTTAAAAGTTAATGTACTAGCATTTCAAAATAGTTTCCCCTCAATAAAAAGAAATTTAGATACAATGATGTTACAAACACCATGGGATTTGCCATCGTCTTAAACTATTTAACACATTACAATAAAAGGAAAAAGCCATACAGACATATTTTAAAACTCTATTGTTAAAACAACACTGGACTAGTAAGCCAATTATTGAAAAAAAATTTTAAGTAAAATGTAATAACTCAAAAGATCTTGCCAATCCTAGTCTATTGATAAGATTACCATAAAAGTAAAAAATCTGATAAAATATGATTATATTTCAGATTTTTACACGAAGTTACAAGAATGATCTTTTACAAATGTGTGAATAATTCAAAGACAGAAATTCTCAATTACCTTCTATAATTGCTGCTATAACCTTTGCCTCGGGGTGAAGGCCCATGTATGAATCTGCATGTGTTTCCATAGAGGCAGTTGCCAGTCTTCAACCAATTCCGACACTGTGTCTAAGAGATAGATATTATCATATAAATTTCAAAGATATTGCTTAAAAAATGCTGTTGAAAAAGGAAAACAAATGCTATAAAAATTCCAGCCAACCTACCCTGTTTCCCCGAAAATAAGACAGTGTCTTATATTAATTTTTGCTCCCAAAGATACGCTAGGTCTTATTTTCAGGGGATGTCTTATTTTTCTGTGAAGAACACGGTACACATTTATTGTTTTATTAAAAGAGACCTCGTACTTCCTGTCTGCTCCGGTTGCACTGCGGCCAACAGTGAGCTGCGCGGCTGCGTTAGCAAATAACGGTCCAGAGCCCAGTAGCTTGGGGGGGGGTGGGGGGGCGCTTATATTCAGGGGGGGATGCCTTATCTTTCAGTGAGAGGCAAAACTGTAAGTAGGTCTTATTTTCAGGGGATGTCTTACCTTCGGGGAAACGGTATGATACATAATGAAAACAGAGCATAAAAACCTCTAAACCCTTTCATTTCTTTTTACAAAATACATTTAGAATTTTCTTTCTGATGCTACAATATAAGCATGTTCACTTTTCTTACACAAATCAGCATATCAATAAACAATTGTGGCTGAGCTAGTGACAACTCACCTCTGCTGTACTGCCAGTGCTGGGTCCAAGCCTTTCAAACACACTGGGTCTTCGAGATGTGCTATCGGATATGGTTTTGGTATTTTCCACTGTGACCTTCCTCCTAATTTTTGACATTTTGTCCTACTTTAACCAAAAAAGAGAGGGAAACTGTGAAACGCTCGTTTTGATTAAATGAGCCCATAAATTACAAGAAATTCAAATTATTACAGTATAGTATTGTATGTATAGTAATATTCATAATAAATTACAGGGTATTTTCCTTAACAGAAAAGTCATAGGTTGAGAGGCCAGTTGTAGACAGAAGATATATTTTATGATAAGCTTTATTAGCAAATCTGACATCTGTTGGCCAATATTCTACCTCTTCTGCAGGTGAACATGTAATATTCCATTTTTCCCAAAGTGAAATTTTCATCGTGCATTCAATCTCAGAAGACCTTGTATGACTGTTCAGTTTGGAAGTTATTCATGAAAACTGTCCCCAGATACATTTTCTCCTCGGTGAGGAACCGCGCTGGTACAGTGGTTAAAGCACTTGCTGCTAGCCAAAAGGACCAAGAGTAATTAATTTTTAATGATTTAAAATTAGAAAACCGTTTTAAAGTAATTCCCATCAAAATGGAAGAGTGTCACACAAATGAACAAAAGTTTCTGTACCACATAATCGCTTATCAACTGCTCTCCAGGTAAGGCTCTAGCTAAAGACCATCCATCCATCCCAATAGACTGAGGCTAGCACGACAAGATAACCTATGATTTAGCATTGCTGGGCCTCATTCCCAGCCCACAGGTGCCTGTCTAACAGATGAGTTGGCAAAATGTCTTATGTTCACTTGATTTATTGAACATAAAGAACTAGAGCCCAAGAGAGGGCACGCTGAGAACGATCTTTAGAAAAACACTTTTATAACTGGTGTACGAGCAGGATGAATCAGTGAACAATTAAATGTGTCACAAAGTATATACGGAAAGTTAGAGAAACAAAATTTTAAAGTTTCATCGCAAGTATCGTATATACTCACGTATAAGTCGAGTTTTTCAGCACACTTCTTATGCAGTTTTTGTGGTAAAATTAGGTGCCTCGGCTGATATTCAGGTCAGCTTATACTCGAGTACACACGGTAACTCCAAATGTTATATGGATACACTCGCATGTTCAGCCACCAGTGCACTTCTAAAACCATTGATTAATAAACAAAACTGAACAGGTTCCTAAAGCTTACTAGCGAGTTACCTAGAATTTGGGACACACGCACAGCATCCACTATGCTGTAAGGAAACTAGCTCTAACCTTCCGGTTTTCCTTCCACTACTGGTGAGAACAAAAAACCGCGGAGGCGGATGCATAACCCAGTATGCCACCAGGGCTCCTTGGTTTTCTGAGGGCCCCACTGCCTTTCTTCCTGTTCTTCACCTGCTGCTCGGACGGCATGTGATTTTACTCCCCTGACCTGCAGTTAGAAAGCAGGATTTCATCTTCTTGCTCCAATCATCCTAGGTCCTTAATAAAACCTTTGAAAATGTCGAGGGGTTCTCCTGCCCCACGCCCTTTCCCCCTAATCATGGGATTTGGGCTGTTTTGTTACAATTCACCATGAAAATTGCTTCCCACAAAACCAACGTTGCTTGCAGTTGACATCGAGAAGTTCCCAAGATTCACTAAGTAGTGATTATCTCGGGAAGTTTATTTTCAGCTACTGTTGAGTCTTCCCACTTACAGAAGAACTACAATGAAGAAAAGACGTCCTCTCCTTTCTTCCGAGTGCAACAGTGCCAGACTTTGCCTTCAAATGACACTGCACCCACGTCTAGACGAGGAGGAAAAAGAAAAACAAACCGAGGCCAAGCTGTAAAAGTTTTCCTAACTAAACTGAAGCTAACAAATTCTGATCATCCAGCTGAGATAGCGTATCACTGGTGACAATTCAACACTAAAGTTACCTGAAGTTATTTTAGTGAAATAGAACATCTGCTATTTTGCATATGTAAAATTGCTTTTTGCTTACAAAGAACACATCAGGCAACCTTTTCAAAAGCCCATTTTTAAGTATGCCCACAATCTACATCAAAAACACACTTTCTCACAGGTATGAGTCGAAATCAACTTGATGGCAAGGGAAGAGGCGTTTTGATGAGTTGGAATGGGCTCATGGCAGTGTGGTTGGGCTGCTACACAGTAATAGCATAATAACAAGGAGCTGTCAGATAAGTAATCAAAACTATGTAGAAGTGTCAACTAGCTGAATAAAAGTCTACCCATCCAATTCTATTAAAAGGGCTATTTTTTTAAAAGCTTTCTCACGTTTCTGCTTCATATTCTTGAATTTGTTGGAAGCATAGTTTTAGTGAATCTATTAAAAAGAACTTTCCAAGCATTCTTCTAGATTGTTTAACAGTAACCCTCAGGGGACCTCAAAAAGTTCGTGGAAAAATTCCATAACCTCTTACTCCCATTTTCCCACATACTTTCTGAAGCCCTCTCATAGAGTAAATCAACTCCAAACCGACTGTGCAACAGAACTGGCACAACTACGCTAACTGCTGAGGTATAATAAGCAAGGCAATACTGTAGCTCTGTACAGAATAATGATTTGCTCAAAAGATTATATGTGCTCAAAGCATATATCCCATTTTGGGAGTTACAACTAAGTGAGGTGAGTAAACAGAACTGCAACATACAAAACTATCCCAAAATAGTAACTCCCACTGCATGTAGGACATGGGATATGGTAGAACTGCCTCAGTAGGTTCCTCAGACTGTACTATTTATGGGAGTGGAAAGACCCAGCTTTCTTCGTGGAGGGGCTAATGGTTTCACGCTACTGACCTTCCGGTTAGCAGCCCAAAGCATAATCCACAACACCACCATCGACATCAGTTAATTCCTCAACTGCTACATAATCTCCATTAAAATGCCTATGTTTCTACATGGGTTGGGAGTAAGGAGATGGGTACAACTGGTATCCACTGAAAACCATGTTCCACATGTACTTCACAAGTGCCCAGGTGGGGTAGTGGGTTATGAATTGGACGGCTAACACAAAGGGAGCAGTTCTAAACGACCAAGAGCTCCCTAGAGGCAGTTCTACTCTGTCCTACGGGGTTTCCATGAGTCGGAATTGACTCCGGGCAGCGAGTTTGGAGCTCATAAAAATAAGAAGAGTTTGCACATCTAAAATGTACAATGTTCAATTAAAACCACTAATAACGAAGACTTCCATAACAGGAATATACTTCATAATGACGTATCCTTCCCAAATATAGAGTGAAAATCTTATGGTGCTATTTTGGCTGAGACACAAATTAGTATATACTTGGCATCAATTTTCTTAGTCTCTTTCTGAAATTACTATCATCCATCGGAAGCTAAATATTTCATTAAGAACTTGGAAAATAGTTTAAAATCAATATATCTCTTAAATATTACTGTTTGGCTGACACTACAGTCATGCTAACTGGCACTATGTACACACTGTATACACACAGATGGCACGGCATTTGCACTCGAACTTATTGCAACAAGATCACGGACTTTGGAAACTTGAGGTGCGAAGATCTTTCCCAAACTTTCCAAGAGTACTGCTGTAAACTGTCTATGGAAAGGTTGAGATTCCCTTCCATGAAGAATTGCCTGATTCAAGGTCTGGTGGTAAACAGCCACATTAAAGATTTAGCTGAAGTTATACTTCCTCTCTGTGGACTTCCCTTATCACCCATCATTTCTTCCTTTATCTGGAGATAGCTTATCTTTTTAAAAATCAATTGTTAAGTTATAAGGTGTTTTTGTTTTCTTTCTCTCCAACTAGCTTGTAAGTTCCTGAACTTTGGCAACAGTCTGCTATTTTATCATTTACAATGCCTATAAATGTTCTCAAGTCTTTTCAGTTTGTTGGTTTCAGTGCACTATGATTTTTTACAATTAAATATGCTTTACCAAAAAAAGGAACTCGGAAAATATTTTTTAAATCAACATATCTCTAAAATATTGTTTGGAGTCTAGTCATGCTAACTGGCACTACACACACACATATGGCACTGCACAGGCATATCAATTTATTGCAACAATATCAGAGACTTTGAAAACTTGAGATATGAAGATCTTTTCTAAACTTTCAAAATTCCCTCTTCAATCATGCAAGAACCTTAACAGAGTTAACACCATAAAACCCCAAGGCCATGAATCAGTTCTGACACGTAATCTAGGATTTCCACAGCTGTCAGTCTTTCCCAAGGCAGATAGCACAATCTTTCTCTGGTAGAGGGAGGGCTGGTGGGTCTGAATCACTGACCTTGTAGTTAGCAGTGCAATGCAAAACATCCAAAGTCATTGTAATTACCCAAAGCCTCCTAATATAACCGAATCATTAAGACACTCCATAAACAAGGCACTATCAATGTCATCTGTTCAAGCAATGTCAACGTAGGATACTTTTCCAGCCATATAGATTACGATAACCCTTTTTTGACAGGCAGCACGCTAAATCCTTTTTCAGATGGTTGCCAAGGTGATTACTTAGTGGATATGAAGATTAAGTAGCACTCAGCTTCCAGGCCGTTAAGTCGTTCTGCCAGGAAATGGACAAAACCAAAAACAGTCCCAAAGCAAGGCCCTTTTACCGCCTACAGGTGTAAAATGCAGAAAGAGGTAACCTGTACATCTAAAATCTTAGTCCGCTACCCTTTCATTGCACACAGATGAGAATCCCGCCTCAAGGCCCCACCTCCCAGCCGCGTCACCTGCAATGTCGACCAGTGCCCCACGCGCAAGCGAGAAAGCCAGATCCATTACAAGGAGTCGCTACAGGCTGAAGCGCTCGATGCTCAAGGAGGGCTCAAGCTCCGGGTGTCACCCAAGTGATGGCGGTGGCTAACCCCGGGCTCCCCAAAAGCCGTTCCTCAGGCGAACAGACTCGGAGAACCCCTACTCCGTCCGAGCTCTCCTCGTAAGCAGAGCTAGATCGTAGGCACTTACGCCGCCGCCGCCGCCGCCGCCGCCGCGGCTCCGAGAAGCGAGCGAGGAGTGTCCCCGCGCCTGGGCCCGGGGGGCGCCGGCGAGAAGGTGCGCGCGCGGCCCCCGGGAGGCGGCCTTCCTTCGAGGGGTGACGGGTTTCCGGAGCGGTGGGCGCAGAACTCGCCGGCCGCGTCTGCAGGGTCGGCAAGGACCGGCCCACGGGAAGAGAGAGAAGGGAGAGGCAGCAACGTCAACGAGAAGCTAGCAGGCCGCCAAACGCCGCCGGAAGTCCGCGCAGCGCCCTGACCCCGTGGGACGAGCCAGCTTCCGGCCGCCAGATTTGACGTCACCGCTCCGGCGCCGCCCCTCACGGGTACGTTACGTGGACGCCGCCGAGCGACCCGGGAGTCGGCTTGCAGTTTATGCGAATTGATCCCGTTAAAAGTGTAATTGGTGGGTGAAGGGAGACGTCGGACAGGGAAAGATATGACAAAATAATAATTTATAAGTTATCAAGGGCTCATGAGGGAGCTCATGAGCGGGGAAGGAGGAGAAAAATGAGGAGTTGATGCCGGGGGCTTAAGTGGAGAGCAAATGTTTTGAGAATGATGAGGGCAGTGAATGTACAAATGTGCTTGACCCAATTGATGTATGTATGGATTGTGATAAGAGTTGTATGAGCCCCTAATAAAATGATTTTTTTTAAGTAATTAAGAAAAAGAAAACTTAATGTCTAATGCTAGGTGTGCAAATGCCACCTTTGCGGAAACTACGTGCACCCATTCATTTGCTTAACAGGACGTTCTTTTTTGTGTGTGTTTGGCTTTTTGTTTCATCATTTTATAGAAAAGTATGAGAGATGTACAAAAAGGATCCTCTGCTTATTCTTATACTTGAAAAAAAAATTTAGGAGCTTTGTTGCTAAAGTCCCTCCGCTTATTGTATGATAACAGAGAGCTCCTTGGAAAAGAAGAGGGCTGACACATGAACCAAGTAACCCCTGTGAAAGGGGTTCGCGACCCACAGGTGGAGGATCTCCTTACTTAGGAAAGAGAAAATAAGATTGCATGTCTCTAAAAAGTCGAACTGAAAAAACCCCAGCCATATAAAATCCCTATCCAGTAATGCCAACTTAAAGATTTGATCAACTACCCTGTCCTTTCTGGAGGGCTCTGGTGTCACAGTGGGACAGAGTTTAGCGCATTGGGGTGCCAAACTCAAAATCAGCCGTTCAAAACCACCAACCACTCTGTGGAAGAAAGATGAGGCTTTCAACTCCTTTAAAGAGTTAGTCTGGGAAACTCAGCGGGGGCTTTTCTACTCTGCCCTGTAGGGTTTCTCTGAGTGGGAATGCACTCAATAGCTTCCTTTCTAGGCATTTCTTATATTATTATGGAGCAAGTGGAATGCATGTTTGTGTTTTTTAAAGGCTCAAGTAAAAAGTCACTGAAAATTGGGGACAGAAGTCCCACCCCACCCCCCAGCAAAGCCATTTTATTGTTCCATAGTTCAATCACATCAAGCAGTAATTGCACAATTGCTGCCACCATCAGTTTCAAAACATTCTCATTCTCTTGCACTCCTTGATATGAGCTCCCCTTTATCCTCCCTTCCTCACTGTACCCCCCAGGAACCCTGATTCTACTGCTGTCTCAAGTTCATCAGTCCTGGGTTTCACATACTTAAAAATGGAAAAACATATAACACAAATTCAATAGGGTTACCCCCAATGACAAAATACATTTGAGGTAAACCCCAATAGGAAAAACACAAAAACAGAAAATGTTGAGAACCAGGTCAGGCCCAACGTGCATCAGAGGGAGGATCAACTGACTTAAGTTTTAACCATTCAAGATAGGTTTATCATTTTGATGTATAGTCATCTCTCCAGTACACTCTTATTTGGTAACCAGCTTCTTCCCATCCCTCTATTATGGGTAGAAGGAAATCACCTGAGTCTTATTTGCTATGTAGATCTTATAAGTGTATATTGGGCTCTCACTATCATCCATAGCCTTTTGCAAATCAGAATCTCACAATTTAGGCTCTGATACTGTTTGCTTTTCGGTTTTGGAATATATTATTAATGATTACTGATGATGATGTGCTTCTTCCATGTGGACTTAGTTGACATCTCACTTAGGTGGCTGCTTGTTTGGAAACAAGCCTTTAAGACCCCAGACACTATTTTATCTGATAGCTGGGCACCATCATATTTCTTCACACTTTTGTATAGCACCCAGCAGGGCCATGATGTAAAAATGAATTGTTCTTAAATTGGAGCTAAGTTGCAATGCGAGCCCCAAACCCATTCCTGAATCTGTTTGTTTTTTGTTTCGTTTTGTTTTATCTGCCTTTGGCTCCCTTTAGAGAGTTCCTTGTTAATTTATGGTTGAGAGTCTTATCGATCATTTCCCTGGGGTACAAAGATGTTCTGTTAATATTTTCACTGATTAGCCCCTGGCACTAAAATTTTAAGACACTGTTGATAGAGGGATATTGGGCTAATGTAGACTAATTCCATAGAGCAATATCTGAATTATTCATGTGTACAGAATAAATCCTTTTGTGACTGGGTGCTATTTACACAAACAACGGGAGTTGGTTGTCAGGGAAATTTTACAATAATATTCATTGATAACGTCACTCACAAGTTAGTCAGTATATCTATCTTAAGCATATAGGGCGTTGATGTGGTAAGGCAATGTCTGTCCACCTACTGGCCATTCAATACTCTTGGTATAGCTGTCTTCTGCTTCATCAAACGCCAGGAATTTTCGGTCTTAACTCTGCAGGTTACAAGTAGGTTTGAGGGAGAATCCAGTTCACCTAGTGGAGTTTCCCCAATGGATCTCTCTGGTGCAGCCTTTGGAGTGGGTCATGCCCCTTGAAGACCCAGCAATCTTTCGTGTGCTCCTGACCCCATTTCCTTTCATTTCTTGCTGCTAGGTGCTGCCAAGTCCTTGCCCACTCCCAGTGGCCCAGTGCACAACAGAAGGAAACACTGTCCGCCCAGTGCACAACAGAAGGAAACACTGTCCGTCGCGCGTCATTCTCACAACTTCCCTGTTCCAGCCCATTGTTGCAGCCACTGTGTTAGTCCTAAACTTTAAACAATGATTTGTATGATTGATCCCAAACCAAACTCAATGCTGACTCACAGGAAACGCCCCCCATTTACCCCCAACCACCCACCACCCACTCCCGCCCGTGGGTTGACTAACTATATAGAAAGCTTTCTTCCTCAGCTAGCTACTGTTGGTTTCAAACTGCCAGTCATGTGATTCGCAGCCCAACAAATAACCACTACACCACTGTATATTTATTAAACTTGTTTAAATAGTCAAACATTGTGAATCAAAGGAAAACAATCCAGCCCCCCTACATTTAAAAAAAAAGTGGAAAAACATGAGCCCTTGTCTTAATTTCAAGGTAGCCATTTATTGTGGTTTTTGACAACAACCAAAAAATAAGAACATTTTTTAACCAAGCTTGATAAAATTTAAAGGAAACTGATACAATTATCTGGTTTTGCTGGAATCAGTAAATTAAAACGTGGACACAGAGCAATAAAATCAAAGGCATTAAACATTCCTAATGACATGCTGGACTATTTTATGCACAGCGGCTAGAGCGTCGTTGCAGGTTGGTCTGATGAAACGTTCAGGCAGCAAGAATCCAAAGGCGCCTTTATCTCGAAGTTCAATTGTAAATGAGTATTTGATGCCCAGGTCATAAATCCAGTCATCCGAACCTCCCGGAGCTAGATCTGTAAGCATAAATTATTTTTTTTAATAGGTATTTTTAATTGGTTAACAAAATGGGTCTTTTATTCTAAAAATGTATATAGCTTTATTTTTCTGTATTACACAACATAAGTTACTTATAGAAAATGGAAAAGGGGGGATGCTTAAGGGAGAAAATAAAAATTACTCATATCCCTACTGTGACAATTACATAATCTCCTGTCAACTTGAGTGAATGGGGTGGAGTCTAGCCTGCCAATCAGGTTGCAGCTTGATGACCTCATTTGGAGGCACGATGGAGGCCTGACCTAGTCTCTCTCTGCCTTCCCTTTTCTGCTGTTGAGACACCCAGAGAGCTGGAGGAGACACTGGAGGCCTGTGCCAGCATTGAGATGCTTCCAATTCCACTGGATCCATAAGACCTTCTATGCATGGGCCTGTGATCTTGCTGCATTTGGCATCATTGCATGTGCTGAGTGAGTCTAAAGAGGAATTTATGGACTAGTATCGGACATGTGGGCTAATACTGGACTTATGGACTTAATCTGGACTGGGCTGGGATGTTTTCTCAATATACAATTGCTCTTTTATATAAAGCTCTTTCTTCTACACATATGAGTGTCTCTGGATTTGTTTCTCTAGTCAACTCAGTCTTACACAGCTATGAAAGTGTAAGTGAATCCTTTATGTAGAGTGATTTTTGACTCCTAGCCACCTTGTAGGTCAGAGTAGAACTGCCCCAGCGGGTTCCCAAGGGCGGAAAGATGACTTAAAATATTGACTCATGTTTTCCCTGCAGAGCAACTGGTAAGCTCCAGTCTTGCAGTTAGCAACCCAGGCTGAACCATTGTTCCCTCAGAGCACTGATAGCCTCACCAAGGAGTGACAAAGAAGAGCGAGGGGGACAATCACGTTGTCCTGGGGTCAATCCCGAACACTGCCAATGTGGGTGATGTGGAGTGGCACTGCTGAGCATTTTCTCGGCTGTAATCCTTAAGGAAGCAGCTCCCCGGACTTTCCTCTACAGGTCTACTGGTCCCTTTCAACCGCCCACCTTCAGGTCAGTCGCTAATTGCAGACCTCTTGGGCCACCCAGCATCTCCTAAGGCAGCGGTTCTTAATCTGTGGGTCCGGACTTCTTTGGGGATCGAACGACCCTTTCACAAGGGTCGTTCAATTCATAACAGGAGCAACATTACAGTGATGAAGTAGCCACGAAAATAATTTTGTGG